TTTATTACATCAAAATAAAATAATAATTATTATATGCCTTTTATTTTTTTCGCGCAGCAATAACTCTTAAAATTTGCTTCTTATTTTAAAACGCACAAATAACTGGTATACTTGCGTTATATAATATAAAAAGCAAGAGTATCGCGCAAATTCTGCGCGATATTTTTAAAATGAAAATATAAAATGCAATTTTCATACAAGGTAGTTTTTGCAATTCCATAGAAAATGTTTGAAAAGGTTGGTGCAGGTAAAGATTTAGTTCAGTTTTTTTGTTTTTGTATTTTGCATTTATATTTTGTATTTACATTCGTATTTTGTAGGAGAACAAATTTGTATGTAAAATACAAAAACAAAAAACTGAACTAAATCTTTACCTACACCAACCTTTTCAAACATTTTCTATGGAATTGCAAAAACAACTACCTTGTATGAAAATTGCATTTTATATTTTCATTTTAAAAATATCGCGCAGAATTTGCGCGATACTCTTGCTTTTTATATTATATAACGCAAGTATACCAGTTATTTGTGCGTTTTAAAATAAGAAGCAAATTTTAAGAGTTATTTCTGCGCGAAAAAAATAAAAAGCATATAATAATTATTATTTTTGATGAATATAATAAAAATCAAATTTAATTATTATTTTTTGAGTTTTATTTTAAAAAGCTCATATATAAAAAGCATGCATAATATTAAGGATAAAAGTTATTAGAATGATAACTATTTACTTAAATAAGAGTTTAGACAACTTTTTGTTGCTGCTTTTTTTCATAAAAAATTTTAAAATAACTGTTATTTAAAAATACGTCCCTGTGCATTATTAATTTAATTTCATTATCAATTTAATTTGTATTACATTTTGAGTTTGTTTTTGTATGCACAGAGGAAATATTGAGTCATGCCCTTTTTCTTATGTTTCGCACAATAAATTCGTGCAAACTCTTTATTAAATTATTTTTTTTTTGTTTTTTTAATTTTGTAAGTCTTTTATAGTTAGTTACACTGCTTTTTTTTTTGTTTAATATTTGTTTCTTTTAATATTTAAGAATTCTACAAGATTATTTAAAAGCACAATTCGTTTAATATTTCTATTAAAAGTAGTATATATGATTGTTTAGTTCACTTTATTTATTGCTCCCGACATCACAGTTGCACTACGTTTTTTTCATTTCAAAATATAGAGAGATTTTTTTTTTTTTTGTTTTTAACAATCATTTCTTCCGTTCAATAACATTACAAATGCAAAATGCTATTTAATTATTATTATTATTATATATTTAATTTTTTTGTTAATTAAATTTTCACTCCTGGCAGGATCGCCATGTAATAATTTAAAAAGAAAAACGCAACCGCTTTTGTTCGTGTCTGAATATTTATTGAAATAATGTAGAATATTAAAATTAAAGCGAAGCTCAGCAGACAGTTGTCTTGAGCTAAGCTTTACATTGTTTCTTATCTTAGTAAGTGTGCATATGTGTATTTGCTGCTTCAGCATAAACTCACTGACGGTTAAGTACGTTATGTGAGGTTTCATATTCCCGTTGCATAAACAGCGCAACAAAGTGTGGGAATTGAATGTTAATAAAGTATTGTGCTGTTATGCTTTCAGATACATATATACACACTACAATGTGGCCAACTTCTCTACCATAGTGTGTTGGCTCGTTAGGCACGTGTAGCTGCAGTAAGTTGTCAATGGCGAATTGGCGATCACCTTACCTGCACTATTGGTGCTACTGTTACCCCAGTTTCTGTGATACGCATTTTAGTCACCGTCCAGGAAAGACATGGAATTGTTATTAAGTTGCGCTTCAAGGCTTGTACATTCGGTGGCCTGTAGACTGAGGTAAAGTTTATGTTTCCTACCATACTATCCACCACCACTGTAGTTGCTTCAAGCGCGAGCAGGTTGTTAGATATTTTGTGATGTTTGATAGATTTTTTGATAAGAATAGCTGTTCCCCCACCTCTTCTGGATACTCTGTGTGATCTATAGATGTCATAGTTGGGAATTTTCAGTTGCAATGACGTAGTAATTGGATGACTTCATATTTCTTGTTAATAATAGAGTTTGCATTCCAGGTCACAACTTTAAATTGCTTAGTGGAGTATTCATTTCCCAGTGAGAGTAAGTAACAGGCTTTGCAGCGTGGTTTGCATTATATTCTTCATAACTGTGTTGAGTTGTGCTTGAAAGTTCTCCATCAGTTTCTCTAGATGAGAGGCCGACATAGAATTGGTGGGGTTTTGTTGTGCCGTGCAGCCTGACATCATTGCGTCAGCATAAGACCTTGATGGCATAACAGAGGAGCTTTCAGGTATGATAGTAGGAATTGATGTGAGGACTTTCTTTTTCCTCATATTCTGCGGAGCACAG